AAATCGAGAGATTAATAGAGAGATTATCATAGAAGTGTACCACAAAATTATACATGAATATAGAGGAAGAATTGAGAGATTATTATAGAGGTTTACCTTGAAGAGAAAATGAAAATTTGTAACCAAATAGAGAGAAATAATGAAAGTTAAAAGAGTAATTATTATAGGGAATATGAATAGGTTGAAACAACATAATTAAAAGGTCTTAAATGTGAATATTAAAAATAAAAAACAAATATTGAGGTAGGGAAAGCTTGAAAAAAGGAGAAAAAAGATAAAACATTTTCTTGTTTTGAGAAAAGGCCACATCATTACATGTGGTTTCTTCTTTAATATATATATAGATTTTTGACATACCATAAGGAGCAAAAGTATAATTCATTCTTGAAAAAAAATCAATTAGTTTTAATCAATACTCCTTCAGTAATTTATGAGATTAACGAAAAATAAAAGGAGTAATGAAAATCAGTGAGAGATTTATTTGTAATGAAAGTCAACAAATTAAGTAAGATATCAAATTTCAGAAATTCGTTAGTAGTCCGATACTGATGTTCATCAATGGAAGTCTTTTTCCTAATAACGACGTTCGCTAGTCCGGGTTTCAAGCTAAGATGATATCAAGCAAGCATCTAAGCATTTATTTAAGAAATGAATTCTCCATGGACAATAGAATGCTTTACAATTAATTAAAATAAATGCATTTGTTTGATAGCATTTTTCTTCTTAAATCATATGGAGCTCTCAAGATTCCAGACTCCAAACTTATGTACTAATCAAATGAGTAAAACAAAAGGAGAGCGTTATCACATGTTTTTTTGGTTGTATATATATATGGGTGCTTGGTGGCTTCTATAGAGTGAGCTCCCTTTTGCCTTTTGGAGTTTATCATACATGCATAGATTAAGTGATATGAGGAAGCATTATTGTGTTTTGCCAACAGTTCTAATTGTACTCTCGTTTACGATTAACGTTGTATCATCTTCTTCGTCTTCCACCATCTCAAGACGTTTTCGCTTCAACGTACCCTCTCTCTCTCTCTATCACACAGACACAAACACACAGAGACACACACACACTCATTTGGGTGTAATTCTTGGGGTTAATTATGATATAGAGTTAAAAGTTGTGGTGACATTGTGCTCCATAATCATCCTGCAACATGAAGTTTAAATTGATTGTAAAGTTATGGCTGAATTTGGGAATTTGATTTGAAGTTATTAAAATTAATTATTCAGGTTGAATGGAAGAATATCAGTCGTGTATGCAATAGAAAAGCAATATTAACAGTAAATGGGGAGTATCCAGGACCAACGATTGCTGTAAATGAAGGAGAGCAGGTAGAGATTAAGGTGACGAATGGTGTTCCCAGAAACACCACCATCCATTGGTAATTAAATTAATAGCATATCTTTTATGTATTCTTGAATTCTGTATTTAGTTTTAATATTTGATGATAATTGTTTTCTATATAATAATGGTAACACAATCATTAATTAGTGGTTTATATATATATATGTATATGTATATATATATATAGGCATATTCAAGGAAAAATTGATTAGTTTGTGGTAACTGTGAGATCCAATCTCAACCACAAATCAACAGATAAATTAGGAAATTAATAATTATGGTAATTTGAGTTAAAATTATAATTAGAGGACATTTTAGGTATTTTTAAAAACTTCTCTCTCCTCTCTCATCTCTCCGACCTCCAATCTCCGGCCTCCGGTGAACATTAATCCGGCAGGTACCAAKTAATCACAAAGATACACAATGTGATACTCATTATGATATACTGTGATACCATTGTGATACCAACTATGATATCAACTCAAACCTTAAAAACAAAGATACACAATGTGATACCCATTGTAATACACAATGTGACCCATTATGATATACTGTGATACCGATTTCACCGGAGGTCGGAGAGATGAGAGAGGAGTTTAAAAAAAAATACCTAATATGCCCTCTAATTATAATTTTAACTCAAACTACCATAATTATTAATTTCCTAATTTATCCGTTGATTTGTGGTTGAGATTAGACCTCACAGTTATCACAAACTAATCAGTTCTCATTTGATTGGGCCCCTATATATATATATATATATTTTTTTTTTGATAGGTTCAAACGAGAACACTAACAATTTAAGAAAATAAGAAAAATGACGTTAATGTACAAAATCATATATAATTGATGTACGTGCGCGCACGCACACACACACACACACACACACACATATATATATATATATATATATATATTCACGTACAAAATCATACATGATTCATACACACACATACATTTATTCATGTACAAAATCATACATGTTTAAAAGTCGTCTGATTCCACTTTTTAGACATTAATGTAAAGTCACATGTGATTTTGTACATTAACGACATTTTTCTTTTCTTTAATAGTTAGCATTATCGTATTAATCTCCCCCCTGTCTCTCTCTCTCAATATATATATATATATATATATACACACAGAGTAAACAAATGAAAACCATAAAAAGTTAAAAACTTGTGAGAGCCGATATAAAAATATCTTGTTACATTATTTTTTATTATTAAAATTCATTACAACAAAATCGGGTTTATAGGACACTCCAAAATTCTAAGCATCCTAATAGACCTTTTTATAGGACCACAAAAATAAAGTGTCATATCTAAAGGTGTTGTATTAAATTTATATGACGATTTTTGATGTCGTAATAAGTTTTTAGGACACTTTTAATATAAAACGTTTCATTATCAACTTTATAGGACACTATTTGAAAAATTGTCCTATAAAAACAAGTGTTCTATAAAAAATTGATTTTATAGGACAATTTCTCAAAACTGTTCTATAAAGTTGCTAATGCGATACATTGTACTAAAAATGTCCTCAAAAACTTGTTAAAACGCTCAAAAACGTCATATAAACTTATTACAACGCCTTTAGATATGATGGTTTATATTTTAGTCCTATAAATTAAGTCATATATAGAGGTCTATTGGGACACTTCGAGATTGGGGACATTCTATAAACCCAATTTTGTTGTAGTGAGCTATGATTTGGTGTATTGTTTCACATATGTTTGTGTTCAACTTATGAAAAAAAAGTGCATATGAATTTTTTTATTCGTTTAGTAAAATTTAAAAATATAATTAAAAAATATTCATATGATGAAACAAATACATATGAAACTCTTACATTATAAAACAAATATATGTAAAACAATATCTTAAATCCTGACATTTGATTAAAAAAAATGGAAAAAATTTATTTTTAAATTGGTTCTCACGTGCTTTGTAATGTTTTTGTTGTTCTCATTTGATTTAACACCCCCCTCTCTCTCTCTCTCTATATATATATATATATATACACACACACACACATATATATATAGGCCCTATATAGAGGGAAGATCAAATGTTAACCATCATTTTTGTGTTAACTCTGAAAACCCTCTCAACCAATCAAATTCCATTATTCTTATAGGTTTATGTCTTGTTCATTTTACCCTTACAAGGGTATTGTAGTAAATTGAATTCATTTGTAACCCCCAAACAATTAATGGGAAGTTACAAACAATCAAATCCCAAAAAATATGCATTCATATTATTAATTTTTTTTTACTATTGATCTTCCATGTTCATTCTTGTATGAATTCCTAAATCGCATAAGAAACACGGTAGTAACRATTTTCGGTATTGATCAATTTGAACACAAATGAACCGTGAACACAATTTGAACATAAATGAACAACCGTGAACACAATTTGAACACAAATGAACCGTGAACACAATTTGAACAAATTAACAGATGAACACAAATTAACAGATGCTACCTTAATTTTATGGGACATCTATGTATGTGAATATATGGGCCAAAAATTGCACATATCGTGTTCATTTGTGTTTATATCGTGCTCATATCGTGTTCACGGTTCATTTGTGTTCAAATTTTGTTCACGGTTGTTCATTTTTGTTCAAATTGTGTTCACAGTTCATTTGTGTTCAAATTGATCAATACCGAAAATTGTTACTACCGTATTTTTTATGCGATTTAGGAATTCATATAAGAATGAACATGAAAGATCAATAGTAAAAAAAAATTAATAATAATATGAATGCATATTTTTTGGGATTTGATTGTTTGTAACTTCCCATTAATTGTTTGGGGGTTACAAATGAATTCAATTTACTAGAATACCCTTGATAAGTGTATTTTTTTTCTTCCCAAAATGCCCCTTTCATCATTGTTCACTAGGCCTCGTTAAAATTCAAACTTTAAAATTTAATTTTTTTTATTGATTAATCTTAACCGTTGATTATAGATTTGTATGACTAAGATTAGTTAATAAGGTTAACACAAAAATGATGGTTAGCATTTGATCTTGGCCATATATATATATATATATATATATATATATATATATATATATATAATATTTCATGAATATGGTGTGAATGGATGGAAGCACTTGGGCGTGTGATATATCAAAACCAAGCTTTTACATAAAATAAATTATATGGAACCATGAACATGTTTTCAATTAGAGGTTGTACCCAACTCCTTTTAATCCAATTTCAAAACATATGTATGGTGGTGTTGTTTTGAAGCTTTCTTGATCTACCTCTAATTAATCCTACTGTGTTGTGATGAGCAGGCATGGAATCAAACAACTACGAAGTGGATGGGCAGATGGGCCAGCATATGTTACCCAGTGTCCCATAAAACCAGGTGGATCTTATACGTACAAGTTCACTGTGACCGGTCAGAGGGGTACCCTCTGGTGGCATGCTCATATTGCTTGGCAGCGTGCCACCGTCTATGGCGCCATCGTCATATACCCTCGTATGCCCTACCCGTTCTCTATTCCAATTGAAGCCGAAATCCCCATCATATTTGGTGATTACTTTTTCAAAGATCAAGTTATATTCATGTTCCATCCGTTTCATTTTGATAAATCAAGTGTCGATAACAGTTGTTGTATATACTGATTGGTGATTGGTAGGAGAATGGTGGAACTTACCTGTTGAAGGGATAGAAGACGAAATGTACAAGTTTGGCAGTGGTCCGAACTCATCCGATGCCTATACCATTAATGGTTTACCTGGATCACTTTACCCTTGCTCTCTCAAAGGTAATGTCATAACAAAGACTCAAAACTTGTATCTTACGGAACTCGATCTGGGTGAAGAATTTGTTGAAATGGTTATATGTTTGTTCAAATATGTGGAAATATCGTCTTGTGTATCATTTGAATTACTTGACGCTTCACCCTGCTGCAACAATTTTAGTAATCGTCTTGATGTATCATTTCAATTACTTGACGGTCCACCCTGCTGCAACGATATTAGTCTCATAGAATTCCTAACTGGCTTTGAAACTTAATGGAATAAGTTGTTAGGACGAAATTAGACGATCTAATAAGTTATATCTAGAGATTGGAAAAATCCGTCTGTACCAACTTTTTAACACGACACCAAAAATTGGACTTTCAGCTATGAAAGTTTCCAAAGGCAAATTTCCATTGGAAATCGGTTACGTACGGATTTCCGATTACAAATTGGAAATTCTTACAATTTTGTACAAATTTCCTACAGAAGCATCATCTGATTATCGAAATAATTTTTTAACTAATTCTAAAATTTGTAGGAAACCAGTCTGAAAGAGTTCTCCTACGAATTTCTTCCGTCATTTGATTTAAAAAATATTTTTTAACTAAATTTAAAATCATTTGATTTTAAAAATTAGTTTGTTAATTAATTTTAAATTACATCCATTCGAAAATCTTAACGGTGTTTGGTTTGCGGAATTTGAAGAAGTTTGATGGAATTGAAATGACAAATTCATTTGTTTGGTTCATTTCTTGAAATGAATGAAAATTTTCAAATTCCATTGAATTCTATAAATGAATGAATTCATCATTCCTTGACACAATTATTGTCGCAGCCTGCCCCGCCCTAACCTAAGCCCCACCCTCATGCCACTATTGTCACCTTCACAACTGCCACTCACCCACACCCTACCCCAACTCACCACCACTAAACACCATGTCACTATTGTTGCTGTTGTTGTCGTCATACCCCCCACTCCCAAGCCCCAGCCATCCGACCACTATCCCACCACTATCATCGTCACAGTTACCACGCTCCACCTAGCCCTATCTACCCCACTGTCCTGCCCCTCCCCGACCCTCGCCCCCCGCCCCACCTTACCTAACTCCAACCTACCACTAATCATCGTCCTACCACTGTAGTCGTCACAGATACCACCCTGTCACCCACTTTCTCACTCTGGCTGGAGCAGGAATGGTGGGGCGGGTGGGGTGGTGGGGCAGGGTTTGGGTTTGGGTATGGGTGGGGCTGGGTAGGTGTGACGACGATAGTAGTGACATGGTAATTGGTAGGGTGTGGGTACTGGGATCTCCAAACAAAGGCGATTGTTCCAATTCTATAGAGAGATTTCATTTATATTCCTACCAATCAAACGCGTAGTCAAATTCTATTCCAATTTCTTCAAAGTCAAATTCCTTTGATGGTGTCCAATTCCATCAAATTTCATTATATGAACCAAACACCCCTAAGAGTTTCTAATTGGCGGAATCCATCATTTTTGCTTGGTCAAATATTTTGTAATTGATAGCTTGATAGGAGGGTTTTTAAACCCATATCATTTGTGTTTTTTAGTTTGTAGAGACCAACTTATGCATTATAAGTTTGTAGTTTTGCATCTTGTAACTAATGAACAAACTCGAAAGTAAAATTATTTATAAGAAATGTGATAATAATACTTGAAAACTATACTTATGCTTATCTTATGTTGGATCTTAGATTACTCGATTTAGATTAACTTGTAAGAGTTAGAGCAGAAGCAATTTAAGATCTATGAAATTGGGTAAAACAGTTTTGATGAAAACAATAAATATCACCAATAGAATTGAGTTATCATCGTCATCATATATTGATTTGAAGGTCTGAAGTACACTTTGGAGGATTGATTAATGATTGTCACCGTCACCACAACACTATGTGTGAAAGAGTGCATTCAAAAACTTACATTGAGATAAGTGTGAACTCCTATTTATACACCTAAAACAAGAAAGTCAAACCACACACCAATGCGAAACATCCACGTGTAATGGTGCTATAACAAACTTTGGGCGGGAATGGTTATAGAACGTGAGCTTCATATATATTTGCACATTATTGATGATGATTGAGTTGGTAAGTATATTTAGAGGGTGGTGAGGTCTCTGGCTTGTCGGATGATCTTTTGGTTAAGCACCACTAGTTCTTCATGAAGCAGGTTCTGGAGTCCAACACTTTTAGAGCTTTCTAATACTTTACAGATGCAAAATCATAGGGTCTAACATCTTGGAGGAAGATTCTCCATGTAGACAAGTAATTAAGAGGCGTGGGACCTGGGGCGTTAGAAGTAGTGGATGTGGGAGATAATTCGGGGGGCGGAGGTTATGTTCTTTGAAACTTGTACATTAGTTTGAACATCTTAAAAATTCGAGATAAGGGTGCTCCATTATAAGGAAGTATAGATGTGGATATAAATTTCATTGTAACCGTTTAAGGTGTTCTATGGATTCATAAATATTTATGATACTTTATAATATTATTAAATTCATAAATATTCAATAATGAGCTTCTTTTGAAGGTATCGACGAGAGGATTATGATTGTATACTAAATGTGAATATGTATTTTTAATATGCTAAAGATGTAAAAACAAAAAGTAATGATATACAACAAATTAAATGGTAGGTATTCTTTATATTTAGTAGTATGTTTAAATTCAATAAATTAAATACTGAACTCATTTTGAAGGTATTGACGATGATTATAATGGTGTAATATGTAAAAAAAAACGTTTTTTAGTATATTTTTCTTCAATACAATTAATTATGTTAACATAATAATGATGTAAAATAAAAAATAAAAAATAAAAAATAAAAAAGTAAGGAATATAAAATAAATTAAATAACAAACTATAAGGTATACGAGCTGTGATTTAAAAATTAAAATTGATTCGAATTTTAACTCAGTAAGGTTGTGCAACTTTTTAGTTTATACATTAAGCTTATTAAGTTGTACCACTTAAAATTTCAAGAATACCCGTAAATCCTTTCTTATAAAGGAGTATAGATATAAATCATTTTTCTAAACTGGCCGATTAACCTTTTATCTATAATTAAGTTGCCAAAAGGGTTGTATACAAAAAATAATAACATAATATACTTTTTGTGCGTAGTTATGTTATTAAACTTTATAGATAAAACTTGTCAGATAAAGTCGTTTCAATATCTTCCCGTAATATATTTAGATAAGAGGTGGATTTTAATGCTATTTTCTTCAACTCTTTTTAAGTCTTTAGGACACATTTTTTAAAATCTTGTGAAGTCTAGATTAGGATGCATGTAAAATCTAAAAAAACGTGCCCATTTTGTTAGTCTGACGGTTGTAAGAAAATGATAGAGATTTATCTGGTCGGATGGGAAATGTCGACGCAATTTGACCTGGGCGGAAGTCAATTATGTTTCGGGTACAAAACTACTTCTCACGGATGACGTGCTTTTAACTGAATTCCATCGTTACGGGAAACTTCTTTTTTTGGTTGATTTCATAAACCTTTCAAGTTTTTAGTATGCGATATGATCGTCCTATGCTTTATTCTAGGTTTTCAATTTAATTTTCTTATGTATCAAAGAACTCCTAATATTAAATAAGATGTTTTGTATCAAAATTAACTATAAATTTTATTTGATTTGTTTAGAATTTTGAGTAACAATAATCAAATAATTAATAACTTGGTCTTTTGCTTGTAGATACTTTTATTCAGACTGTGGAACATGGGAAGACCTACATGCTTAGGATCATCAACGCAGCCCTTAACGACGAGCTCTTCTTCACCATAGCCAACCATACACTTACAGTCGTCGAGATCGATGCGTCGTACACCAAACCCTTTGATACCAAAGCCATCATGATCACACCAGGACAAACATCTACCGTGCTCTTCACTGCAAATCAGTACCACCATGACTCCACCGGATTGTTCGTTATGGCCGCCAGGCCTTACCTCACCACTGTATTCCCTTTCGACAACTCTACCACAATCGGTTTCTTGAAATACAAAGGAACAATGGCAGAAAATATGCTTCTCCCGGAACCATCTGATCTTGTTTTGCCTCAACATCTCCCACAAATGGAAGATCACGCGTTTGCCACAACATTTTCACGCCAACTCCGGAGTCTTGCAACGGCCAGGTACCCTTGTAACGTGCCAAAAAAGATTGATAAACGTGTTGTTATCACTATCAGTCTTAACCTTCAAGATTGTCCTGCTAACCAAACTTGCAAAGGGTTGAATGGGAAGAGATACGCAGCTTCCATGAACAACCAATCATTTATCCGTCCCCCTACCTCAATACTGGAATGGTATTACCTAAATTCTTCTTCTACTCAGTACTCTTATGACTTCCCACACAAGCCACCACATGTTTTTGACTATACAGGAATCGACCCATTGATGCATAACCTAAATCCAGATTTCGGTACAAAACTCTTTGCGGTGGAGTATGGGACGAGGTTAGAAATCGTTCTTCAAGATACAGGTTTTCTTAACTTGGAAAATCACCCGATTCATATTCATGGCCATAACTTTTTCATCGTGGGTACGGGATATGGAAATTACAATGCGGACAAGGATACTGTGGGATACAACCTTGTAGATCCACCTGAGAGGAACACGGTCGGGGTACCAATGGGGGGATGGGCAGCGGTTCGAATCAATGCAGATAATCCAGGGGTATGGTTTATGCACTGCCATCTTGAAGAACATACTTCGTGGGGTCTTGCTTCGGGTTTCATCGTGAAGAGTGGTTCGAAGTCATCTCAAAGCTTGCTTCCACCCCCTGATGATCTTCCTGCATGTTGATATCCATAGTTTCTAGTTTCAATGAAAGAGAATTAAGGTCTTTATCTTGTAGAAGTTTTCATATGTTCAAAATTAGGTTGAGATGCATAACCGGTGAAAGATCCAGTGGGTTTAACTAAGGTCGTTTACTGACCAAAAGGGTGGTTATTTTTGGTCACTAATTTGTGTTAGTGACCATGCAAGGTCATTAATTAGTGACCAAAAACTAGAGTGGTCATTGACGACTAATCTAGTCACTAAACCAATAAAAATCGTCACTAACTTGATCAATTAGTAACTAAAGTTAGTGACGACTATGAAGTAGGTCATTGGTTAACGACTCCGTTAGTGGCTGTTAACGTCCTTTAGAGACCAAATATGTGGTAACTACTCACCTAGGCATTAAAGGTTGTTAGTTACCAAAAAAGTAGACACTAATTAAAAAGATATGAAAAATAATTGCCACTAATTGTTGAGTTCTAAGAAACAGAGACTGCAAAAAATTAAGAAGTCAATACTTTTATTAAGAAATGGCATCATGGCTTTAAACAGCCTTGCAAAATCCAACGTACAAAGGATATCTGAAGAAATTGACTCCTAACTGATTCTTACAGAATAAGGACTTTTGTTAACAACAACCAAGACTAAGTAAACCATCCTTGATTCCCTCATAAACTTGTAACTAATAAACAAGCAATATTAAAACAAGACTTAACAAGCCCTCCCATAAACCAAACGGAGTTTACTCGCTTTGTTTACTGCTGCTGAGCATAATCCAAGCTGCCTCCCGAGTCTCTCGAACACTCTTGCTTCAAGGCCTTTGTGAATGTCTTCAATATGTTTTTGAGTTCCACAGTACTCCATTTTCACTATACCAACGTTAATCAAATCTCTCAAAAAATGATAACGAACTCTTATGTGATTTCACCTTCCATGGAATACTGGATTTTTGGACAGTTTGATGGTAGAGATATTGTCCCAAAAAATGGTGATTCCTTCTTCTACCTTATGCTCCAACTCTTCAAGTACTCTTTTGATCCAAATAGCTTGACAGGCACACACAGCTTCTGCTACATGCTCGGCCTTAGTCGTTGATAACGTCCATATCTCTTGCTTCTTTGAAGACCATGATACTGTTGTATTTTTCAACACATAGCCAGATGTACTTCTGTTTTTGTCACTGTCCCCTGCAAAATCACTATCGGTAAAAACCTTTAGTTCACCTGCTCCTTATTTCTTGTACCAAAACCCATAATCCAAGGTCCCTTTGAGATACTCAACACTCTCTTTGCCGTCAAGAAATGCAGGTTTGTGGGTTTTGTCATATATCAACTGATTAAGTTTATAGCAAATTGCAGATCTGGCCGAGTGGTAGTAATGTACATGAGGCTCAAAATCATTTTCTTATAGAGAGTTTCATCTACTCTTTCTCCTCCTTCATCATTGTCGAGCTTGTTCCCCGATACAATCAGATTGCACACCGAGTTGCATTACTTCATAGCATACTTGCATTGAGAAATGTGGATTCTGTTGGATAGTTGCAACACCTCTATTCCTAGGAGGAATTTCATCGATCTTACCAAGATATGACCTATCAAACTCTCTCTACATAGATGCCTTAAACTTTTGCATCATCAAGGCATCATTCCTTGTGTAGATAAGATCGTCTACGTAGATACTAACAATGAGGATGTTACCTTTGCAACCTTTCTTTATGAACAAGGTCTGTTCATTTTGGCTTTTTTGAGACCCTTCTTCGATAAAGTAGGTCTCTATACAATTGAACCAAGCTCTAGGAGCTTGTTTCAGTCCTTAAAGAGCTTTATGAAGTTTTTACATCTTGGGTTCCTTTTCTAGTACAACACATCCTTTTGGTTGTTGCACGTACACATCCTCCAACAACGTCCCATGAAGAAATGCTGACTTGACATTCAATTGATAAATATCCCATCTCTTTTGAGCTGTTGTCGTAATCACCATTCTTACGGTGTCCATTCGGGCTACTGGTGCATAGACTTCTTGACTCTATCCCATGTTTTTGTGAGTAGCCTTTTTCCACAAGCCTTGCTTACACTTGACTACTTGTCCAAGTTCATTCAACTTAGTCTTGTAAATCCACTTCACACCAATGCACTTGGCCCCTTCTAGTAAATATGTTAATCTCCATGTTTGGTTCTTGTTTATTTCTTGTATCTCCAGGTGCATAGCCTTTCTCCATTTTTCACTCATCTAAGCCTCTTCGAAAGATGATGGATCACAAAGAGTTGAATTCTACCATGTTGAACTCGTCTTCAGCCTAAAAAATATCTTCATAAAAATCACTATTAAAAACTACATAGTCATCAAGGTAACGAGGTGTCCTTAGTCGACCCTCCCTTGGTGTTACAGTGGATTGCTGATCACCGTTATCCGCTCCTGGACTTTCTGCATCGGGTTTCTCATCGCTATCATTTTTTTCTAGAGCTGGTTCTTCATTTCCAAATTCATTTATTTCATCTTCGTCATTTTCATCTTCGCTCCATGTTAAATCAACATCAATCTGTTTGCCAAAAATTTATGCCCAAGTGTTTATCAAAAACGACATCCTTGTTTATAATAACTCTCTGCATGATTGAGTTAAACAATCTGTATCCTTTTGATTCTTCACTAAAACCCAATAACACACATATAGAACTTATGTCATTAAGTTCATTTCTTTTCACGTCTGATGTGTGAACATGAGCAATGCAACCCCAAACTCTGAAGTTTTCCACGTTCTGTTTTGTGCCACTCCAAGCTTCTTGAGGGGTGACATCTTTGACAACCAAGGTTGGACATATGAGTACATAAAACTTCCAGATCACGGCTTCAGGCTAGAATGTGTTGGAAAATTTGTAGGTTGGAAGTTTAGCTTCCATCCCACATTGGTAGAGAATTATTTTCTAGAGAAGCTTATAAGGCTTTCTCTAAAAATGGGCTTTAAACATGTTGGTGGACTCATGGTGGGGGTCTTGAATGGAAGGCCCAACACACACGCGCGCGCGTGGCCGTGGCCGCAGCCGCGCAGGATTCGCGAAGGTGGCGCGCTTTCTCTCTACTGTTTTTTACATAAATCCTGCTCTATTCGTTTTGATCGCTGTTCATAAACGGATCGCCTACTGCATCAAATCCTAGGGCTTTGTGACTAGCAGACTCACAACATGTTAAGAGTGGTCGTATAAAACCTTAAATGATAGGTTTTACCGTGCAGTTTATTATCCAAATCGACAAAGATAAACAAGTTGGTTTTATATTTCTCGCATTGTATTCAATTTCGTAGTTCACTAAGTCAACAATTCTGCTTCTACCCCTTTCTTTCATTGAATCTATTGCGAAGGATAGATTCAATCTGTGTGAATTGACACATTTGAGGTGTTCGAGGGTCTAAATATTAAAAGGTTTAAGTTTTGTCCGTTATATAAATAAAGTTTTATAAAGATTAAATCTTTATTTTGTTTTTCATCTATCTTATTGGAATATATTTTTTCAACAATCTTTAAGGTTTTATATCAAATGGACAGCGAAAACTATCGTATTCTCAATCAAGACATGTTGAAATTGGAGAAGTTTGACGGGTCGAGTTACACTCGTTGGGCGGACAAAGTGAAATTTATGCTCATGGTGGTAAAACTCTACTATGTCCTAGACCCAAGCCTTCCTCCTATTCCCGAAGATCCGGTCCCTGAACCAAGAAAACAACCGGAACTTCAAAGAATTGCTGATTTGGAAAAGCTGAGAATGATCCGCAAGGAAGAGGAAACTCTTGCTTGTGGACACATTAAAAATGCTTTGTCGAATCGTCTGTATGATCTGTATTCCCCGATGACGTGCCCTAGAGAGTTGTGGAAAGCCTTGGAATTCAAATACAAGTCACAAGAAGATGGCACCAACAAATATAATGTGTCTCAGTATTTGAGATTCCAAATGGTTGATGAAACACCAATTCTGGAGCAAGTGCATGAGCTCAACAAACTGAAAATGCTTTCTATTGCTATTCCTGAAATTTTCAAAGTAGGGGTAGTGATTGACAAACTGCCTCCATCTTGCAAAGATTTTTCTAAAAGAATGATGCATAAAACCAAAGATTATTCTTTGGATGATTTACTAAAATACTTTCGTATTGAGGAATAGGCACATAATCGGGAAAGAAGAGACAAGCCTGTGATGAATGCCAACAACGTGCAGGTTGGAGGCAAGGGTAAGAGAAGGGCCGGAGGGCCAAACAGGAAGTGGAACTTGGGTCCACAAGAGAAGAGTTTCAAGAGATATGGAAGTCAATCGAACCCGGGATAGAAGTATAAGAGGGTCGGAAGATGTCACGTCTGTGGAGAGACGAGACACTATGCTCGTGAATGCAAGGACAGAAAGTCCACCACTTCTACTGCTAATTCTGTTGAGGGGATTCAACACCTTGTGGCGAATCTCCATATGGAAGAGATTGACATGATCTCAGAAGCCTCCACGAGAATTGTGGCTGCAAGAGGTGGCTGGTACTTGGACTATGGATCCACTATTCATGTTTGTGACTCTAGGTCCAAGTTTGTTGAACATGGACCAGTTCGAAATGGGAAGCAAGTGATAGTTGCTAACAACGGCCGTACGGATATCGTTGGAATGGGTACCGTGTGAAGTTCACTTCCGGCAAGACCGTCACTCTTCGAAATGTACTTCACGTGCCTTCCATTAACAAGAGCCTCGTCTCTGCAAGCAAACTCGATGAAAACGGGTTTAGAATAAATATAGAGGCTAGGAAGGTCGTGATTAACAAGAGGAAGACATTTATTGGAAAGGGATAATACCAGTTGGGTATGTATCGCCTTAATCTGAGTGAAGATGGTTGTAAGGAGGTCGGAACGAGTGAATCGGTAGAAAGTAACATGTTAGCCACGTCTGATAGTGTTTCAAAATTTTCTGTTTCCATGGTTGAAAGTGATGTAATCCCAGACAGTTTCAATAAATTTGCTTGGATTATTCTGTTTGTTCTATTTCTTTATGGCATAAACGTCTTGCGCATACAAATGTAAGAAATATTGAAAAAAATGCATAACAAAGGATTAATCAAAATTGATAACAAAGAGTTTGGAAAATGGGAATCTTGTGTAAAATCAAAGTTTACAAAGAAATCTTTTCCTTCTGTTAAAAGGGACACGTCAATTTTAGAGTTGATTCATTCTGATATTTGTGAATTAAATGGAATACCTCGCACGCCGCATCGAAGCAAAAGGAGACTCGCCCCGAGCTCCGAGTAATTTTTTGATAAAAATTCGTGAGGAGAATGATAATTATCAGTTTTAATTTGGATAATTATCGGTTTTTATTTTGAAATTAACCAGATTGACTTAGTATTTGAGATAATGGTTAGTGGAGAATTTTTCTCCACCATTATCTCCGATTTTTGAAGAAAAACGTGGGTGCACTTAGGGTTTCACCCAATATTTATATTGGGTTGAAGCCGTATCATAATGCACTGAAAAAATATGATATTTCCTCTCCATCGATTTCTGCTCCCGAGTTCTGCTTTTTCTCTACTGTTTTCTACATAAATCCTGCTCTATTCGTTTTAATCACTGTACATAAACGAATCATCTACTGCATCAAATCCTTGGGCTTTGCGACTAGCAGACTCACAGCGTGTTAAGAGTGGTAGTATAGAACCTTAAAGGATAGGTTTTACCGTGCAGTTTATCATCCAAATCAACAGAGATGTAAACAGATTGGTTTTATATTTCTCGCATTGTATTTAAATTCATGTTCACTAAGTGAATAATTCTACTTCTACCCCTTTCTTTCATTGAATCTATCGCGAAGGATAGATTCAATCTGTGTGAATTGACATATTTGAGGTGTTGGTGGATATGAATATTAAAAGGTATAAGTTTTGTCCGTTATATATATAAAGTTTTATAAAGGTTAAATCTTTCTTTTGTTTTTCATCTATCTTATTGGAATATAATTTTTCAACAATCTTTAAGGTTTTATATGAAATGGACACCGAAAACTATCGTATTCTCAATCAAGACATGATGAAATTGAAGAAGTTTGACGGGTCGAGTTACACTCGTTGGGTGAACAAAGTGAAATTTATGCTGATGGTGGTAAAACTCTACTATGTCCTGGACCCAAACCTCCCTCCTATTCCCGAAGATCCGGTCCGTGAACCAAGAAAACAACCGGATCATCAAAGAATTGCTGATTTGGAAAAGTTGAGAATGATCTGCAAGGAATAGGAAACTCTTGCTTGTGGACACATTAAGAATGCTTTGTCAGATCATCTATATGATCTGTATTCCCCGATGACATGCCCTAAAGAGTTGTGGAAAGCCGTGGAAATCAAATACAAGTCACAAGAAGATGGCACCAACAAATATCTTGTATCTCAGTATTTGAGATTCCAAATGGTTGATGAAAAACCATTTCTAGAGCAAGTGCATGAGCTCTAAGTTTTAGTAAACAAACTGAAAATGCTTTCCATTGCTATTCCTGAAAATTTCCAAGTAGGGCAGTGATTGACAAACTACCTCCATCTTGGAAAGATTTTTCTAAAAAAATGATGCATAAAACCGAAGATTATTCTTTGGATGATTTACTAAAACACCTTCGTATTGAGGAAGAGACACGTAATCGGGAAAGGAGAGGTAAGTCTGTGATGAATGCCAACAGCGTACAGGCTAGAGGCAAGGGTAAGGGAAGGGCCGGAGGGCCAAACAGGAAATGGAACTTGGGTCCACAAAAGAAGAGTTTCAAGAGATCTGGTAGTCAATCGGACCCGGGATAGAAATTTAAGAGGGTCGGAAGATGTCACGTCTGCAAACAAACGGAACACTATGCTCATGAATGCAAAGACAGAAAGTCCGAACCTCCTGCTGCTAATTCTGTTGAGGGGATTCAACACCTTGTGGCAAATCTCTATATGAAAGAGATTGACATTATCTCAGAGGCCTCCACGAGAATTGTGGCTGGAAGAGGTGGCTGGTAGTTGGATTATGGAGCCACTGTTCATGTTTGTGACTCCAGGTCCAACTTTGTTGAATATGGACTAGTTCGAGATGGGAAGCAAGTGACAGTTGCTAACAACGGCAGTGCGGATGTCGTTGAAACGGGTACCGTGCTAATGAGGTTCACTTCCGGCAAGTCCATCACTCTCCGAAATGTACTTCACGTGCTTTCCATTAACAAGAGTCTCGTCTCTGCAAGAAAAATCGATGAAAACGGGTTTGGAATAAATATAGAGGCTAGGAAGGTCGTGATTTACAAGAGGAAAACATTTATTGGAAAGGGATACTACCAGTTGGGTGTGTATAGCTTTAATCTGAGTGAAGATGGTTGTGAGGAGGTCGGAACGAGTGAATCGATAGCGAGTAATGTGTTAGCCACATTTGGTAGTGTTTCAAATTTTTCTGTTTCCATGGTTGAAAGTGATGTAATCCCTGACAGTTTCAATAAATTTGCTTCTTTGTATTATTCTGTTTGTTCTATTTCTTTATGGCATAAACGTCTTGCGCATACAAATGTAAAAAATATTGAAAAGATGCATAACAAAGGACTAATCAAAATTGATAACAAAGAGTTTGGAAAATGTGAAACTTGTGTAAAATCAAAGTTTATAAAGAAACGTTTTTCTTCTGTTAAAAGGGACACATCAATTTTAGAGTTTATTCATTCTGATATTTGTGAATTAAATGGAATACTTACCGGAGGAGGTAAAAGATATTTTCGTAAATAAATGGAATACTTCACACGCCGTATTGAAGCAGAATGAGCCTTGCCCCGAGCTCCGAGTAATTTTTTGATAGAAATTCGTGAGGAGAAGGATAATTATCAGTTTTAATTTGGATAATTATCGGTTTTAATTTTGAAATTAACCAAATTGACTTAGTATTTGAGATAATGGTTAGAGGATAATTTTTCTCCACCTTTATCTCCGATTTTTGGAGAAAAACGTGGGTGCATTTAGGGTTTCACCCAGTATTTATACTGGGTTGAAGCCGTATCACAATATACTGAAAAAATCTGATATTTCCTCTCCATCGATTTCTGCTCTCGAGTTCTACTTTCTCTCTATTGTTTTCTACATAAATCCTGCTCTATTCGTTTTGATCGCTGTTCATAAACGAATCACCTTCTATATCAAATCTAGGGGCTTTGCCACTAGCAGACTCACAACGTGTTAAGAGTGGTCATATAAAACCTTAAAGGACAGGTTTTACCATGCAGTTTATAATCCAAATCGACAAAGATTTAAACAGGTTGGTTTTATATTTCTCGCATTGTATTCAATTTCCTGTTCACTAAGTGAATGATTCTGCTTCTACCCCTTTCTTTCATTAAATCTATCGCGAATGATAGATTCAATCTGTGTGAATTGACACATTTGAGGTGTTGGTGGGTCTAAATATTAAAAGGTTTAAGTTTTGTCCGTTATATAAATAAACTTTTATAAAGATTAAATCTTTATTTTGTTTTTCATCTATCTTATTGGAATATATTTTTTCAACAATCTTTAAGGTTTTATATCAAATGGACACCAGAAACTATCGTATTATCAACCAAGACATGATGAAATTGGAGAAGTTTGACGGGATGAGTTACACTCGTTGGGCGGACAAAGTGAAATTTATGCTCATGGTGGTAATCTCTACTATGTCCTGGACCCAAGTCTCCCTCCTATTCCCGAAGATCCGGTCCCTGAACCAAGAAAACAACCGGAACTTCAAAGAATTACTGATTTGGAAAAGCTGAGAATGATCCGCAAGAAAGAGGAAACTCTAGCTTGTGGACACATTAAGAATGCTTTGTCAGATCATCTGTATGATCTGTTTTCCCCGATTTCATGCCCTAGAGAGTTGTGGAAAGCTTTGGAATTCAAATACAAGTCACAAGAAGATGGCACCAACAAATATCTTGTGTCTCAGTATTTGAGATTCCAAATGGTTGATGAAAAACCAATTATGGAGCAAGTGCATGAGCTTCAAGTTTTAGTAAACAAACTGAAAATGCTTTCTATTAACATTCCTTAAATTTTCCATGTAGGGGCAATGATTGACAAACTGCCTCCATCTTGGAAAGGTTTTTCTAAAAGAATGATGCATAAAACCGAAGATTATTCTTTGGATGATTTACTAAAACATCTTCGTATTGAGGAAGAGGCACATAATCGGGAAAGGAGAGGCAAGTCTGTGATGAATAACAACAGCATGCAGGCTGGAGGCAAGGGTAAGGGAAAGGCCGGAGGGCCAAATAGGAAGTGAAACTTGGGTCCACAAAAGAAGAGTTTCTAGAGATCTGGTAGTCAATCAAACCCCGAACAGAAGTTTAAGAGGGTCGGAAGATGTCATGTCTACGTAAATACAAGACACTATGGTCGTGAATGCAAGGATAGTAAGTCTGGACCTCCTGCTGCTAATTCTGTTGAAGGGATTCAATACCTTGTGGTGAATCTCCATATGGAAGAGATTGACATGATCTCAGAGGCCTCCACGTGAATTGTGGCTGGAAGAGGTGGCTGGTGCTTGGACTCTGGAGCCACTATTCATGTTTTTGACTCCAGGTCCAAGTTTGTTGAATCTGGACCCGTTCGAGATAGGAAGCAAGTGATAGTTGCTAACAACGGCCGTGCGTATGTCGTTGGA